ATTAACGAGTCGGCAAACTTTGCACGTCATGTTTAGATGTGAAACAACAGCGGCGCATCGCCTTGTTTCATCAAATTCCGCGAAAAATCGATAAAAAAAAAAGTATGTTATTAACCCTAGAAAGATAACGTCCGTCGAAACGACGTACACATTTTTTTTTTTACACTTTTATTTGTCTACTGAGCAACTTCTTGCAATCATTTATCTCAGTCGGTAGCAGCAGCTTATTGGTAGTGGTTGATTTTTTGCGGTGAGTATTTTCTTATCTGAGTTATGATCAAATCGTACGCCGAAAAGACGTATCGTTATCTTTAGTGTGACTTTTTGGTTTTTCGATCGCATGTATGTTTTATTTGCTTTTTTGTGTTCGGCTTACTAGATTAGTGATTGGTTTTTGGTTTTTACATATAATTTGCTAAAATATATAATGGCATCTTCAAATTCAATTGATGACTCACAAATAGCTGTTCTTTTGGAAGAGTTAGATAATGAATCGATTTCATCTGATCAAGGAAGTGAAACAGTCCAAATGAGATTATGACGGGATCTGAAGCACCTGATATAATTACTTCTGATGGACGCATTATAACAGATTCCGTACCAACGCTAAGGAGTATAAGTGGACACTGTTGGAGTACAACAAAAGTAACTAGTTCTTCCCGATACGCAATGATAAACATAGTTCGAACTGCAAGAGGGCCTACTCGGCAGAAAAAATCGTTTTATGAACCTCTGGAGTGCTTTAACATATTTTTTACGGATGAGATTATATCAGAAGTGGTTCGCTGGACAAACACCGAAATTATACAGAATAGAAGTGATGATATGACTTCTGCCACAGTGAAAGAAACAAACGTCGATGAGATACGTGCTTTAATTGGAATACTAACACTGACTGCGGTTTTAAAAGACAATCACCTTACTACTGAAGAATTGTTCAATGCAAGGTATACGGCTACTATGAGCAGAGATAGGTTCGACTATCTGATCAGGCATCTAAGAATGGATGACAAAGCATTACGCCCATCACTTCGACCAAGCGATGCATTCACTCCTATCAGAAATATATGGAATATTTTTATAAAACAATGCCAATCTAGCTACATCCCTGGCTCACACATAACAATCGACGAACAGCTTTTGGGATTCCGTGGACGGTGCCCTTTTAAAATGTATATTCCTAATAAACCGAAAAAGTATGGAATCAAAATACCTATGATATGCGACAGTTCTACAAAATATATGTTTAATGCAATTCCGTATCCTGGAAAAACAACGATAACCAGCAATCTTCCTTTAGGTGAGTGCTATGTAAAAGAACTTTCAAGGCCTATACATGATACATGCAGATGTATTACCTACGATAATTGGTTCACATCGATCCCACTTGCTAAAGATTTGTTAAAAGAGCCCTACAAATTGACTCTTGTCGGCACCGTTAGATCAAACAAACGTGAAATACCCGAAGAATTCACGAGCCCGACCTGTTGGAACTTCGAAGTTTTGCTATGATGGCCCCTTAACCCTAGTTTCATACAAGCCAAAGCCATCGAAAATGGTATACTTGCTGTCATCTAATAATGAAAAAGGTACTATTGATAACACAAGTGGAAAACCAGATATGATATTGTACTACAACCAAACGAAAGGGGGGGTAGACACTCCAGATCAAATGTGTTCCGTAATGTCGTGTTCGTGAAAAACTAATAGGTGGCGGATGGCAGATTTTTATGGCATGCTAAGTATAGCATTCGTTAACTCATATGTAATATATTGCCATAATATGATAAGTATTAACCAGAAACCATTAACACGTAAGGATTATATGAAAAAGCTCTGTGCTTGGCTAATAAGTCCATGGATGAAAAAAAGAATTGAAGTACCCACATTGTCAGGAACTTTGCGCAACACTATTGAAGTCGTAATTTATTTAAACTAAACAGCTGATCGACATTAAGCGCCGCTTGTCAGCTTATGTGCTCTTAGAGAGGATATGAAAAAAAATATGAAAAATAAGCAAATTGATTGGTAAATGCTAAGCATATGCTAGGCATACAGCGATGGTTAGTGAAATGGAGACATGGAATATTTGATATTTAACCTTTAAGTATTGGTGCCTTAAGCTTCTCTCCCATAGGTTGCTAAACTGCTTCTTAATTTTGAAGCTTTTCCAAGCAAAAATATTAAAAAATATAGTTTGTCTTATACTACAAAAGACCTGAAATCTCGTTGAGTAGAGGTCTCAAAAGAGGTAATTGGTAAAGTAACTGAAAGACGCATCATTTCTGGTCCCGAGATTTTGATTTATGGAAATGGGGTCAAAATTGTCCTAGAAAAGAGTGAAATGAATCAATTGAAACCGAAAAAATTCGAAACAAACTCTCTTAAGGAGCTGAAGGCCTTCTCAGAAGAGCTTAAATCGCTAAGACACCTACGAAAGTTCACCAGCTTTTCCCCGCAATCGAAAGACCCACTTCAATGCTACTAACAAACTACTACAGCCAACAGTTTCTATAATATGTTACAAATTTTACTTTAGAGGCCGTGTGAGTATTGCACACGCATTCGAATGCCCTCATTCACACCAACAACCAGTGCGACATGCCATTCCAATAACGCMATCCGAGCACACACGCCTCATTACCAACTACAAACATACAAAACGAATGACAAAAGAAATTGTTTTGAATTCCGTAAAGTTCTCGTCAAACACCCAGTGTGTTTCACAGCAACAAACACAGCGCAAAATGCGATTTGTGTATGCCGCAAACGGCGCACAACTGTCCATCCACTYAGTCAGCGAGTCAGTCAAGGCGTCAAGCGTGCGGCTTATGACCATAATTCGCGAATCAACTTCGATCATAAAAATAAATTCAAATCAAGCAAATACGCCGCAACATCAATAAATGTCTGGGCAGTCGATTTGTACGAGTATTGTGTACCAACTGGGGCAATAACTTGCAACAAATTTCATTCTAATGCCTTGCGCCGATTTGCAGTGTGTGTTTATAACACTTCTTACATTTACTCTACACCAACCATACAGACATACATACATACAGACATTTATGTTATTTAGTTTGAACTTTGGATTGGTCGCAATCATTGGAGTGTCTGCCTCTGAGCTGTCTGTCCAACGGTGGACGCCTAAARCAGCCGTATTCCAAACATGCTTATGAATATTGTTGCATTTAATTGTTGTTGTGTTTGTTGCAGTTATTATTGCTGTTTGTTTGCCTAGTCTGTCTGGCATCTTGGCCAGATGGGTATGTGCTTCCATGTGTTGCCACTTATTTCTTTATCTGTCTTCGTCTTGTCGCGCATATAAAATATTGCATTTGGATTTCAATAATAAAGCTCCCAGCTGAGTGGGTGTGAAATTGTACATTCGTAGATAATTTTCGAATATTGCGGTGCCAACGGCGACGCATTATTAAYTTGCACCCCACACTACTACATGTCACACATTCTTACTACCTTACTAAAACCAACCAACCGGATGTGAGTTTGACAGAGAGTGTGAGAAATAGAGAGAGACGGGAAAAGGTGTCAAATAAAGGTGATGTGKTGTCGGAAAAGAATTCCATGTGGTATCTGTAGTCTATAGTTTATGAAAGAGAGAGAGAATGAAAGATAGAGAGTGCTAGTTCTACATGTGGTTGTTGAAAATAATAGTTTATTGCTTTTTGTAAAATTTGAGAGTACAATTTAGTGATAATATTATACTTGAGAATACCTCCTCGGGAAAATTTTTAACACATCTGATCAAAGTTGACCCGTACTAAAAAAAATGTAATTTTTTTAGGTACTTAATTATTATTATCGCCTTCAAGATCGGCTCCTGAGTCAACACAAGAATGTGAATACTTAATCCAATCTTCCTTGCCTTCAGCGAATTTTGGTATTTTCGACGGCATATTGAAAGTGTTCAACATCTAGCAAATGGCGTTCCTAAAATGTGATGTTGCACAAAATATCAAATTTCGCTGAAGGCACTGAAGGTCGTTCCTAAACCCACGTTTGGTCATCAGTATTGATGTCTCTGATGGATGTAGGGTCCTCAGCTATGTTAATAAAATTTTTATGTATAATAAAATTTAAATCTAATATTAATAAAATTTTTTAGAAAATTCCGGCGACGGAGTCAGTGCTACGCAACAAGATGACCCAATTGATATTGGGAATGATCACGAAGGTAGTAGCAATCTGAAAAAAAGAAAATACTSCGGTTTTTGTCCTTCCAAAATAAGACGCATGTCGCAAAAAGAATGTGTTAAGTGCAAAAAGCCCGTGTGTGGGGAGCACCAGAATCAAGTTTGCAACGCGTGCATATAATACTGCTTGACTTTATTATTATTATTTTTTTTTTTTGTTCTAAAACAATATACAAAGAGTTATTTTGTAAACAAAATAAAAAAAATTTGTTAGATTTAAGAACGAAAATTGTACCTTTTTCTGAAGACTGCCTTATTTTTGCTACTTTTTATGAAAAAAAATGAATTGCTTTATAAATTTTATACTATCTTTAATTTTTTGATTACATGTTTCAAAATGAACTGAAAATGAATGAATTAAATGATCTCAGTTAAAAAGCAAACAGTTTTTTATGTATTTAGGAAGCTCAAAATCCATTAAAAGGAGATACGTCATTATTACGTATCGTTATCTTTCCAGGGGTAAAAAATAACGTTATCTTTCTAGGGTTAATAGAGGAAAAACCCGTCGATTATGTTGCGGTGCTTTCAGTCAATGTAAAGGCTAGCAATTAGGAAAGGAACTGGATTAAAAGTATAAAGATCACATTTGGTTTTATAATTAACGAATTTTGGTTAATAAATAAAATATTCAGTTTATAGCAAAGAAGTGTACATACATATATTAATAATAAGAAGGAAGAACTGTTTTTATAAACTCATATTCATCTGAATCCCAAATTTTGAGATTCTAAGAAAAATGTAACTTAAATTTTAACCCACTGTCGTTTGCTTATTTCATTTCAGCATTTATTTTGTGGGAAAGCTGCCGACATTTGGTCTTTGGGTGTGACCCTTTACGCCCTGGTTTATGGAAACGTACCATTTATTGCAAATTCTATTCCAATTTTATATGAAAAAATTAAATTAGACCCTCTTATGCTCTTAGAAGAGCCAAAAATTAGTGAACAACTTCAGGACTGCATTCGTAGAATGTTAACAAAAAATCCTGACTTCAGAATTTCTTTACAGCAATTAAAAGTTAGTACAATTTTTATAACTTTTTATAAATAATAAAATTATCGAATGTTGAGTTATTATATATAATATATACAGTGAACAAAATAAAAACTGGGACACTCCAATAAAAATTCATATTTTTTTTGATTATTGATTATTTTTACAAAAATATGGTTTATAGTACAATAAAAACCATTAAAAAATCCAGACTTTGTACATTACTTATGAAAATTCAGCAATTTAATATTAATAAAATTTTAGTTTCAAGTCGCTAATGGCTACCGTTGATTTTTGGCAATCTTTTTATTTAAAGTGTATCTTAATTTTTCAAAGTACAATCAAAATAAATTTTATATAGAAGAAAATAAGCTACAAATTAGACAAAAAAAGGCTTGAAATCAATGGTAACCATTAGCTACTTAAAGCTTGCGCTTTCTTAATATTAAATTGAAAAGGCTACAAAACTAATGCTTAAAATATTTTCAAACAAATTTTTTAGAAATTTGAAAATTTTCCTAGACAGTTTTTCAAATTTTGTTAAATTCTCTAGAGTTATGTACAAAATTTGGAAGTTTGCTTTTTATGGCTTTTGTTCTGCTATAAATGATTTCACATAAGAAAATTTGCGAGAAAAAATGATAAGTTTTTATTGGGATGTCCCATTTTTACTTTTTACATTGTGTGTATATGAATATATATGGGTTTCAGGAACATAATTGGATAACTAAAGGTGGTTTGCATCCATTAGCAAATGTGAGTGAGAACTGTGACTTGGTCAAGGTTAGTGAAGAAGACATCAGTACAGTTGTGCAAAGTATTCCAAAACTAGACACACTGATTTTAATTAAAACAATGCTCAAAAAGCACTCCTTTGGAAACCCGTATGTTAGCGAAAATTTGCATGAGTCGCATCCACGTGATATAACTCGTTATGAACAATTTGTTCGAGCTGGTCGCTCTAATTCTGCTCCTGGGTCATACACACAGCAGTAAGTATATTTTTTATTTATTTCGTATTCATATTTTGCATGATAGATTCCTGTGATAAATGAATATATATTTAGACACCGTTGTTCCCTGGAGACACTTTCTTTACTTTTCTTCTTGATATCCTCATATGAATGGAACAAGTGGAAATTAAGATATATTAAATTTCTTGTATCCTATTTTATATATCCTTAGTAACTAAACAACGAATAATTAAATTTGTACAGAAATTATGTACAAGTCGTTTATTATAGGTGTATCGTTTGTGCCAAGCGAGAGTCGAAAATAACTTTCACATCGGTTATCGAGCTATGATTTTTATTTCGGAAATAATGACAAACTTTCTTACACATATATGTATGTAGATTATGCCTTTTGAGCAAAATGTATATATTTTCAAATGAACCGAAATCTAAACATAGTCTAGGTTTTTCGATCACATGAAACTCTGTTTTCGATGAGACTATTTCTAATACAGACCAATTGTATTTATAGAAGTTAAATCTGTATTATATAAAACTTATACATTTTTATTAACCTTTTCGAATATGCAGCGAATTATCTCTTCGTGGTCGTTAACCAGGCGAATAAATTTCTTATCGCTGAATACATTTTATTTTAATTATATACTTGTAATACTGAATTGATAATTATAATTGATAATTGATAGAGATCCCATTTGCATTAGAAAACAGCTAATGATGCAGCCTTATATAAACCATTCATCGTATAAGGAAATACTGACCTGCTTAAAATTCTTACTATTAGCACCCCTACAAAAACACAGGATTATTACTTGTAGAAAACAACTAATTTCAAATATAATTATTTTATTATCACTCATATATCTATAAAAGTCATAATCTGATTTGGAACTTCAGAAGAACATTTATTAATATGACAGGCAATTCTTTGTACTGGAATATTTCAGATATATACTTCTCCAAGTTCTATTACGAGTACCTCAGCTACCACTACAGCATTCTCTAAAATTAATTGTGGGATATTATATGAGCAACAATAATGGGTAGAATCTTCCGGTGTTTCATCAATTGTGAGTCTAATGTGTAGTAAATCAGGGCTAGTATTATGAGATAGTAAAATAATACAAAAAAGCATTGTAAATAACAGCCTTCGTTGAATTTTGCGTATGATAAAACATAAAAGCGTTCATAGCCATATTCAAACGTAAAACCCACTGTTTTGTCTGTTTATTACACGTTTTTACTCAAAATGTGTTAGTTTATAAATGAGTACATTAAATATATGATGCTAATTTAAAATATTATTTAGTGCCGAGTTTACCTTGACTTGACTAGAGGTCACTATGTAATTGATTTTGTATGTATGTAGGAAAATATTTTATAAGTATATATCAATATATGTTTAATGTTTTATATCAACAAACCTGAACATCTATTGTTTCGTAAAAAAAATGTACATCCAGTTTCATTAATCAAATTTTAATCAGTTTTTATATAAATTTACTTACCGTCTAACCGATGTTAGAATTAAAAGATTTTATTTATTATATTAAATATAATTTTATTACTCTCTCAGCTATAAATGTTATTCATATAACTAATTAAGTTCATACTTATTACTTTTAATTCTAGTGACATGGATGATAATGAAAAACTACCATCTTTTACGGAACCAGAATTTGAAAATCGTATACATTAATGACAACTTTAATTATTACATATGCACATATAAAAATTTGTATTGTGCACATTTACAACTTCTTAATAATACCCGCCCAACCGATCCGAGGGTCGCAATCCGGAATTAGCCGAGTCATAAAAGGCAAGAGAGTTTTAAGCGTTGCGATCTTAAGCTGCTCAGCTACAGAAACAAAAATTTCAACAGCCAAAATTAAGGTTTAGATTAAAGTTTATAATTTTGAAATGTTACTTGTTAAGAATAGATAAAATAATTTTTTGAATGGTACAGAGTGAGTCTGTTAGATCAAATGTGTTGTAATGAGAACTGAAATCATGACATATACGGCGGAATAGTTCGTTTAACTCAAAATTTGTTCTAGATAATAGATAATAAGAAAGTAAGGGTCTAAACTACCTGGTAGAGCGAGCGGGAACGTAAAATTAATATCAGAATAGAGAGATGGGCTACAAACTGACCCATTCATTAGTTTTACAAGAAATATTATACTAAGCATCTCCCTACGAATAGCGAGTGTCGGGAGATTTATAAGTTTTATACGGTTAGTCTAAGGGGGAAGATTTAAACTGGAATCCCAATGCAAATGATTTAAGCAAAAAGTAAAAAAATTTTTTGAACCGACTCTAACTTATCTGAATGAACTTGGTAACTAGGGTTCTATACCACGGAAGCATACTCTAATATAGGCCTTACTAGCGATGTAAAAAGAATTTTTGTGGTAAGCGTATCTCTGAATTCTTTACACCAACGTTTAACAAAACTAAAAGCGCCTTTAGCTTTAAAAACCGTGGAAGATGCGTGCTGATTAAAATTGAGTTTGGGATCCATAGTTACTGCCAGGTCCCAGATCTGGGAACTGACCATTACTCGTTCGAAATTAAATAAATTTGGTTAAGACGCAACTGTGACATTTCATCTAAGAACTCGTTTAAACATAAGCGAGTACTAATAGGAATGGTGTAATCATCAATAGATTTCCATGATACTCGCGGTAAATTGAAATCTCCCAAAACAATCATGGAATCAGTATTATTAGCCATTGAGAAAACATTATTTATTAATGAAGCATGCTGCATATATACAGATATGTCCGAGTGAGGCGGTATATAAGATAAAGTTAAGTAGATATGGCGATATGGGATATTAAGTAGTATTAGCGCAAATACGAATGCACTTAAATTCTATGAAGTCTGCATGCGGATCGTCGACTTCTTCAGATGAAACTGAAGAATGAACAGCAAACAAGAAACCACCTCCTTTTCTATACAGCCGGTCATATCTAAAGATTTCGGATTCGCTGTTGAATATTTCATTATCAAAAATGTGAAGCTTTGCCAAGTTTATGAGAAAACAATGATTTAAAACTTAAATAAATGCTATTTAAATATAAACCAGTAAGTTTTGTATTAAGACCTCTAACATCTTGATAATAAACAATCAGCGAATTATTGTTAATTAGTTTTTTGTACCCACGGGATTTCTTAGCATTTTAGTGATAACTACAGGGGGCTTATCACTTTTGTGCTCGAATTCGCACATAAATACCCCTGATGGCCAGAATGAGTTATCAAGTATGAATTGAAAATTGTCAGCGGATACGTGGATCTTAAACGACCAAATATCTATGTTATATTTGAATTTCAATTTATGGATGTCTGTATCTCCCGTAAGCTGACCGCTTACGTGTTCAGTAACAGTTTTCTCTGTGTCCTGAGCAGACGGAACCTTCTCTCCTTGATCACAAGGGGATGAGAGATTGATGAGGTCAATAGTGGTTGGGAGCATTCTTTTTAAGGAAGATACAGTGGTATCTTCATCAGACGCACATTTACATTTATTGGAAGGTTTTGGATCCTCTTCTTATTTATTATTTAAATGGTTGAAACAACGTTTCATAATGCCTAAATTTATTAGTAAGCGTTTCAAGCTCACGGCCAATTTCCTTGAAATTATTGCGCGTCTGCTTAAAAGCTTTAAATAAATCAATTTCAGTTGATTTGCATTTAATGCAAGACCAGCGCAAGCCCTTACTATCAAGAATATAATCCAATATTCTTCCTTTCAGTCGATCATATTTAAGATAGGCAAGCCCGTCACACAGCCAGCAAGAAACAAAGCGTTCCGACTCGCCTTTAACAGAACAATTCGGGAAACTGCAAGTCATAATGATAATAAATAACAATAAAGAAACAATATTAAATCAAATTATAAACAATTTAAATAATAAAATTAGAAAGAGAAATGACAAAACATTTATAACAAATAAATGCACTGTAAGTTATCAAAGGAAACAACCAATATAGCGAGCAGTTTGAGATGCACTGTGATACACGAAAAGTAGAAACTCGCAAAGATAGAAAACGAATAAAAACAAGAGAGAAATTGAAATAGCAATATAAGTTAACTCCACCAACTGCATTATTTAAGGATATAGCAACAAAAACAAATTGGAAGTGACTGGGCGGAATAAATTAAAATTACCAACACACAATTGAAGTACATTTCAAATGCTTTAATAGTAAAATATTACATAGATATGTACTTATCTTTACGGATCACTTAATTCAAACATGTTCGTTATAGTTTTAAAATATAAATTAAAAAAATTGACAGGAGCTTGAAATTACACAGCTTGATCCAAACTTAAACACTAAACACATTAACAATGCAAATATGAGAAAGTAGCTTATTGTGATTTTTTACAATAAATTATTATTATTCCAAAATTTATTTTTTAAGTCTAATAAAAATGTAGGTCAATTTATAATTAGTGCGGTACACCAGGTATTTTTCAGATACTTTTATGGAGTAATTTTGCTAAATTCTACTTGCTGGGCTTGTTTTAGGTGGTTGCGTATATAAAATTTCTTCAATTGAATTTAAATACGGAGACTTTCTTTCTATTTGTACTACATATGTGCGGTAATTCCAAATAAGCCAACTTTGCATAAGTTCATGCTTTTGTCAGATAATTATCTTGAAATTACGACTACTTAATTTTGAAACACTCTGCAGTATTTCAGAATGAAAAAATATACAGGAATATTACTTACTGTACCATAAATGTAAAATAAAACTTCAAAAGACAACAGAAGATATGCAAAATATTTTATGTTGCTAGAAAAATTTTGTGGTTGTAGCTCAGCATTGGAGTATGGAGGCATGTGTAGGAATGTTCACTGATCGCCATTCACTTGGGAGTGGCCAGAAACGATTCTTTTACATGTGACTCAAGCAGCTCACGACTTTCGGTCTTTGAAAAAGTTTCCTCTGGGTAGTCTAAGAACATCCGTTTGAAGGCGAGCAACCGCGAGAAAGCGAAATATCCGCTACAGAGGGTTGTGCGCAGAGTTTGGGACCCGTCACGTAAAAAAACACACTCAATGAAAAGGAACAACCATCCTCGGATGAGAGACCCCCCTTTTGATGACGGCCATGGCAAAATAAATAAGGATTATGAATTGAGGGCTGGAATGTCCGGTCGCTTAATTGGGAAGGTGCCGCTGCCCAGCTGGTTGATGTCCTCTTGAAAATAAAGGCTGACATCACCGCCGTCCAAGAAATGCGATGGACGGGACAAGGACAGAGACGAGTATGTCCTTGTGGCATTTACTACAGTGGCCGAGTACTATCATTGACCCCGGTGAATGAACGTCTAGCCACAATCCGCATCAAAGCGAGGTTCTTCAACATATCGCTGATTTGCGCCCACGCTCCGACGGARGAGAAGGACGATGTGACCAAAAATGAATTTTATGAGTGCTTGGAGCGCACTTATGAGAGCTGCCCCCGCCACGATGTCAAAATCGTGCTTGGCGACGAAACATGCCTAAATGGCTTGGGGCTAATCGACTTCGCCGGGGCCCGAAATATGTTTACCTGTAGTACTAGGTTCCAGCATAATAAGATTCATCAAGCTACCTGGCTGTCTCCGGAGCGAAAAACGACCAACCAGATCGATTATGTTGTGATAGACGGAAGACACGTCTCCAATGTTTTAGATGTAGGCGCGCTCCGAGGTCCTAACATGGACTCGGACCACTATTTTATTGCAGCGAAGATTGTCACCCACCTCTGTGCAGCAAAAAACGTACGCCAAAAAATACAAGGAAGGTTCGACGTCGAGAAGCTGCAATCGATTTTCTACTCGGCTTGCACTCCTGTTCCCTAAGAGCAGGACGGCAGCAACGTGGTATACAACTCGGTATAAGAGAACTGTGGCACAGCATTTCAAAGTCCTTACGTACAGCTGGAACCGAAAGCATTGGTTTTCTTAAAGTGSAAAAGAACAGCTGGTACGACGAGGAGTGCCGTGTCGCAGCGGAGAGAAAATAGCCTGCTTACCTCGCAACGTTACGATCGACCACAACACGTGCGGGATGGAATAGATACCCAGAGTTGAAGAGGGAAGCGAGATGCATTTGCAGACAGAAAAACAAACAGGCCGAAATGCGTGAGTACGAAGAGCTTGATAAGCTGGCCGACAGGGATAATGCTCGAAAATTCTACGAAAAAATGCGGAGGCTTGCAGAAGGTTTAAAGACCGGAGCATACTCTTATAAAACCCCCAAAGGTGATCTAGTCACCGATGCCCACAGCATACTTAAATTATGGAGGGAACACTTCTCCAGCCTGCTGAATGGCAGTGAACGCACAACTCCAGGAGAAGGCGAACCCGATTCTCCAATCGATGACGATGGGGCAGATGTTCCATTGCCCGACCAGGAAGAAGTTCGAATAGCAATTACCCGCCTGAAGAACAACAAAGCGGCGGGGGCCGATGGATTGCCGGCTGAGCTACTCAAGCACGGTGGCGAAGAACTGATAAGGAGCATGCATTAGCTTTAACGATTGGATCCACATCGCATTGGTTATTCGTAATCATTTCGCCACATTTTCAACTAATGTCGTGTCGCAATCATGGCTATTCAGCAAATTCACATAACCACTCCGAGGATACCGTTTGGACTCAATTGACGACATAAAAGCTGAATCGAAAAAAGCTCTGGAAATTTGTCCAAGGGCTATGATGACTGAAAAATTCGTTGGCAGAAATGTATTGCAGAGGGAGGGGCTCACTTTGAAAGTAATAAAATGAACAAGTAGTATATCTAAAATTTCTTGATTACGCTCTATTGTATTGCCATTGTAACTAGTTT